GTGTAGACTTTCAGCTTTATTTTAAGAGATTCCACAAAAATATGGCATTTACCATTTAGGAATTACAGCCATTTTAAGCAAAGTACTTCCATTTTCATGGGCTCAAAGGTATGAAAAGGTGTGATATATATATATCTCAATCATTTGGCTCTATTGTCCATGATATGCATTAAGTTATTATTTAGAGAATCTAATCTATACACTCCCTCTGGGTTAACTGAACAACTACAAGGTTGCCATTGACACAGTGAGAAAGAATTTTCCACTGCAGGCTGTGAACTTCTTGAGACCTCTTATGATATCCTATCACCCTCCATCCTGTGCACAAAAGTTAGCAACATCCACCAAAACAGAAGTAAGGGCCTCGTAATGTGACACTTGTGCAACATCTGCACTCTGGAAAGTATGATGGAGAAAAAAAGTAGAAGTGTTTGTCTTTGGGCTTTCACTAGGGGACTCTAAAATTCTGCTGCTGAATGCTTGGGTTTGTGGTAAAACTGTCGACCTGCTATTCATAGAAACCCACAATTTATCACCAACCCATCACAAGGGGCTGGAGGAATATGTGTATTTGTGTATATAAGTACAAAGGCGGTTTAAAAGAGGTTGGGTGATTGTACATGCTACTCATGCACTACTGCTGAAAGGCTCCATGGTAATTAAGATACTTGAAGAAATTACGACACTTTCTTGGACGTAAAATCAATGTTCCTAGTCAGGAATGTCCATAAATTCATGCAAATGTCAGGGAGTTGTTATGCAATTGCCAGGGTACAAACAGACATTAAAACATTACCATTGGAGACAAAATTATATCCACAACACACACACACGATATGTACTTTTAAACCACCAACTTATTACTCAGCTATTTACCTTAAAGGACATTATTTTGTACCAACTATGAATCATCAGTAGCTACATTGAAAATAAAATGCATGGTATGTTGTTACAAGAATACAGCCTACCCATCTGGGTCCTGGAAGTTCTGGTAGCATAAATGGGTAAAAAGAACTGAACCACTAAGTATTTATTTGATTTATTAAAGTTTTTTTCATTAATTTATTCATCTGCAGTAACCACTTTATCCTTGTCAGGGTCACAGCGGATCCGGAGCCTATCGTGGTAACACCGGGTGCAAGGCAAGAGAATTTACCCTGGATGGGACGCCAGTCAGTTGCTGGGCACTGTGCACACATTCACACACTCTTACACCTGGGGCAATTTAGCATAGCCAATCAACCCACCTTCATGTTGTTGGACAGCTGGAGGAAACTGGAAACCTGGAGGTGAATCCCACACAAAAGGAGAACATGCATAACTCCACACAGATGGTAAGCCGAGCTCAGTATAGTGGAGCTGTAAGGTGACAACACTACCCACTGCACCACTGTGCTAACAAATGTTTATTTAGAAAAAAGAAATATAATGAATGAATTTTAACATTAAACATTACTAATGAATAAACAAGACTTGGCCAACCTAATTTGTGCCTTAAGAAGCATCTGAGGCTATGACAAGAATCATACAAAGGCTCATGTGCACACTAATGCATAAAGATCTTTTGACAGTATAAAGACAAAAAGAACAAGGGTTCAAACCCAAGTTGGACACAAATATTTTTTAATGATCTGTGGCATCCTAAAAACAGTTTACAGTAAAAAAGAACTTGAGTTTCTGAGGGCTAGGCTGGTCCATTCTGCGGTCTGGCAACAAATATTGAAGAAATAGGCTAATAGTAGGCTGTAAGGATTCTAAAGCCAGTGGTAGAGGCTGCCGCTGCTGATCTGTGGCAAAGGCCCAATCATTTTTACTTCGCTAGAAAGCTGATTTTACAGTGAATGAAATTAGAATTTTCATTTGTGTAAATGCAGTTAGTAATTACATGTATGTTAAAAATCAATGGTTAATTCTTTAACTGAGAAAAGTGTTAACAGATGTATCCATTTAGAACAAGGACACAGTGTCATTAATGCAAAGCAGCCCTGAATGTCTCTGCTTGCCCAAACACCACACCCCATCACAGCAAGCTAAAACATTGTCCCCACCTCTGCCCCACATTGCTCTAACACTGTCTCATTACACACAGGTGTAGTATGTCTCATTCGATAAATTATTTACATATTATTCAAAAAGATGTACCAATATTGAAAGTGTATTGAATGTTTTACCACTATATATGTCAAACAGTTGGTTTAAACAGTGAGATTTTTTTTGTATAGTAGCACCTTTACAAATTATTCAATTTTAATTGAAGTGATAATGCACACTGGTGCATTATGAGATGAGCCATGTACTGTTTAGATTATGAGCATACGCTGAACAATATAACATAAAATTTGTATTTAACTGTATATCGTTTCTAGTTAGAAGGTGCGTGATGGCATATAACTCAGGCAAAAAGATGCTTTAAAAAGTGGAAATGGCCAGATTGATTAACATGGAAGCATAGCGCAGGCACTGCCTTGGGACTTACTGACTGCATTATGTTTGTTAACTCACTACTACAATTACCACAGTGATACCATTCATTTTACTATGATCCCTGTTTTTGCTTTATTGCAATTTTGTTTGTCCTTACTTTGTCTCCATTCCAGTGGATAGCCATCTCGGTGCAGCTCTCTCAAGTGCCAATAGCGCCCCCTTGTGGAAAATCTTCAGCCTGCTAAACATGCGATTGTGAGTGAGAGAGTGAGTGAGTGAGTGAGTGAGCATGTGAAGGAGATACCAGCCAATTCCATGAGGTGTTTCTAAAATAATATACAAATATCTAAATATGTGTCTGAAACGTCACTAATAGCTAGGCAATTGATAAGCATGCATAACGCACACAGTACTCTTCCAGGCAATTTGGCATCTCATTAGGGGGTACCCTCATTGCTTCATTTAAAAATAAACTCCTAGTCACGCATAATGCATTTTGCTCTCCTTGATTTGGCTCCTTTTTCACTGTTGCTTTTTTCCCATTATTTCCCCCCTTTTTTCATTATTGCTTTTTTGTTATTATCTGCTGAAGCACAAAATAACTATGAGAGACAGGTCACACAGTCATCAGCAGTAGCAACAAGTTAACCAAGTTAGTCTCTACCACCAAGCTTTCAAGATATGTCATCAGTTGATACACAGAGCTTGGCTGGCCTAACCTCAGGAGAAAAGCAAGGAACAGAAACAGAAAAGGGACTATATTCTGTCTGCCAAGTCAGTAGGACAGGACATCTGCCATTATTAGATATTTAGAACACTGAACAGGAACCACACACACACACACACACACACAGAGTTGGGCTTGGTTGTGAGTTGAGAAGCAGGTCACTGTGCATGGAATACCTCTGTAATCATTGCTAAAAAAATCAATGCTGAAGTAATAAATGCACAACCACAGACCCCCTCCATCTGCACAAGTTACACAATACATTTCAGCAATGGGACTCCCTTCTCAGAACAATCATAAATAATAAACATAACCATTAAGGGCTGTGCATGTTATATAACTGTGTATGGATTATAAGCTAATTACAGCACGGAGGCTTGAGCGGCACTCACTAAAACGCTTCCCAGATGTACAGCTGTACACTCTTAGAAACAAAGTCAAATTTGGAACTCTTATATGCTCTACGTAGAACCCGACAACAGAGTGTTTCTCTTTTAGATAGCGTTCCAAACTAGAAACCTTTTTGGAGGCTAAAAACCCTTACTATACTGATTCCCTAAGATAAAACCTTTGAAGAACCCTTTTTCTAAAAGTATTTTCAGCATGTCTGATTGCTAAAGATACCCCTTTGAGTCAATCAAGTCTCCATCATTTTGACCACAATTCATATATGCATTTTCCTTCTGCTTTTCCTGGTGGGGGTCGCAGTAACAACAGGCTGAGAAGCTCAGTCCAGACTTCTCTATCCCC